CCCCCCCCCCCCCTCAAAAAAAAAAAATTATATACTATTTGAGTAGATTCAATTCCCTGGGTTTTTGGGTCTTTCTCTTTATGTTTGACTTGGTAATGAGATTTCTGCTCTTTTTCTTTTTATTATATATTTATATGAACTTATGTGCATCAGAGAACGGATGGTAGGATGCCTGATCTCTTTAGGAGCAGCCCCGGGCCTTGTGACCGATCCTACTCCTCAACACCCTTCCGGTAGAACACCTGCCGACCTGGCATCCAGCAGTGGGCATAAAGGAATTGCCGGTTATCTGGCAGAGTCTGCCTTAAGCACACACCTCGGTTTCCTCAAATTGAAGGAAAACAAGGAGGACAGAAATGCCAAAGACTTCAGGTATGTTTTGACCTCTGGAATTATGAGGAAAATAAAGTGCTTATGAAAGCATATTCTTATCTTGGTTTTACCTTGTGAAGTGCAGGAGAAATGTAGTATGGTTATGTTTTTTGAAATTTTGCACATGCTTAGATTTTTTTAGTCCTAAACACATCCGTCCCAAAATCATAATTTTATTAAGGAAGTTCATATGTTATGGGGCCTCGCATAACAAATCTTCTGCTTTGTCTCTTCAACATTAAATGTAGGACCTGTTCTTTTGAGTTGGAAAAATTAACTTCTAACTTCCAACTCCTTCCAGTTTCTTCCAACGACTTAAGATATTTATATATGATTAATATAAAATAACACCCAGACCCTACTCATGTGGGATCCAATTGGGTTGTTGTTGGTGGTGTTAATGTAAAATAACATTATATTCCCAAATTTATAACATATCACCTCAAATAAGGACAATGATGAATTCTTTTTTACGCAAAATTGGAGTTTTCCTACATACTTATTTGGATAATCATTTAATTTAGTGACTTTTTAACACTTAAATTCTTCCAACATTTTCCAACTCCTTCCAGTTTTGTCCAACTCCTTCCATTTTCTTCCAACATTCAACTCTAAAATTCCAACTCAAAAGAACAGGGCCGTAATTGATTTCCTTTTAAGGTATAAAAGCTTTGATATAGGATAATAGGAAGAGTTAACAAGGAAAAAATTGGAAGATTAGTTAAAATTTCCATTAAATTCTTAAACCAACAATCATTTTGGACGCAAAGAGTATACTTCCTCTGTCTCAAACTATATCTTCTTTCCTCACATTTTTTATCATTTGATAAAATAGAATAGTCAACCCACCCCTTGTTTTGTTGAACTTTTGATGTAATTTTTTAATACTCCATCCATCCCTAAAACTAAGTCACTCTGGGATTTCACGGAGTTTAATGAGAGAAATATTTTTAGCCACATATTCTTTCTTTAAAGGAAATGAAATGTGATCAATTGTCTTTTGGGACAGACATAAAAGGAAAGAGTGACTTTGTTTTAGGGACTTTTATTTTTATTTTTTTATTCTATACCAAACAGTAGGAACCTTATTTTGGGAAGGAGGAAGCATTATAAAAGTAAATAAATAAAATGAGTTTTGGCAAGTTTTTAAAATAAATTTGTTTAGTTTGATACTTTGATCTTACATTTTATTTTCTAATTTATTTTCCTTCTAATTGTTCTCTCTATTTTCTTGCCCTAGTATGTTTAGAGATCCAAATGCGGTGCAAATGGTTTCTGAGCGGGTTGCTACTCCAGTCAGTGATGGCGATTTACCTGATGGACTGTCACTGAAAGACTCACTGGCTGCTGTCCGCAATGCAACCCAAGCTGCTGCCCGGATCCATCAAGTCTTCAGGGTGGAGTCATTCCAGAGGAAGCAGATGAAGGGCTATGATGAAGAGCAGGCTCTTGCATCACTTATTGGTGTGAAGAACAGGACAGTACAACACCATGATGAACCATCTCATGCTGCTGCAATAAGGATACAAAACAAATACCGCAGTTACAAGGGAAGAAAAGAGTTTCTTCTGATTCGGCAGCGTATCATCAAAATTCAGGTGTGGTGCAGTTGGCATTTCAAAAGTCCCTCCCTTAACCTCCACTCTCAGCATGTACCTAAGCCCTCGGCGCTTTTCTTTTTCTTTTTTTTTTCTTTCTGCTTAGACTCTTCCAAAACCCAGATTAATCTCATGCTACTCGTTAAAATGCCCCTGTTTGCCACCTAGAGGTCTTCACAGTATTGGGGTGTTGTTGGTATAAAGCTTCCCTTTGAGCAGCTTTCTTTTAAGTCTCGCTGTCAACCTCTGTATAAGAATTGATGTGAGCCCACAATACTCTAGGGGTAGTATGGAAATGGAACTCATTCGTGATTAAACCCTCCATTCTTGCTTTCAATTTACTCATCTATTGTTCTTTTGAATTAAATCTTCGAATATTGAAGTGGAAAAACCAAACTAGAGTTTAAAAAGTCATGTCAACTTTTTAATGGAGGTTGACAATGAGGTACTAAAACGGAAATGGCTTGTCTGTACAGTGTACACCAGGATCTTAGCTTCTCTACTTGTAGGGATAGAGGTAAGATATGTATGCATCCCACCCTCTCCATACCCAACTTTTGAGTGGAACATAATAACATACGTAGTTACGTATGTTCGGTTTGGTTTGGTTTGGTTTGTAGGGAGTAGGGACAAAGAGCATATTTAAGCCTATTGTTGTTTTTGTATTACTACTACTACTATTATTATTATTATTATTATTATTTCTATTGTTATAATTATTTCTATTATTATTATTATTATTATTATTTGCTTCTGACTTACCATTTGTGTTTTTCCTTGTCCCCATGGCAAAGGCTCATGTTAGAGGGCACCAAGTCAGGAAGAACTATGGAAAGATTATATGGTCTGTGGGGATACTGGAGAAAGTAATTCTGAGATGGAGGCGTAAAGGAAGCGGTTTGCGAGGATTTAGATCAGAAACAACACTCATTGAAGGGGGCAAAGGCATGGTTAGCCAACCCGTTCAAGAGGACGACGAGTACGACTTCCTAAAACAAGGTAGAAAACAAACTGAGGTTAGGTTGGAGAAAGCCCTTGCCAGGGTTAAATCCATGGTTCAATATCCTGAAGCTAGGGATCAATATCGAAGACTGCTAAACGTCGTCTCTGAAATGCAAGAAACTAAGGTACACCCCCTCCCCCTCCCCCTCTCTCCCCCCACCCGCCATCATCACTTCATTGTGTGTCAGACAAATGTTTATGTGATGTGGGCTGGGCTTAGGTTTGATCTTGTTGATCCCGGAAAATGTTCTTGTGTTAATCTCAGGGCCCAAAAACTTACCCAAAAAATTTTGGGCCCATTTTAATACTCCGTATATGTAAACTAGACACCCAATCAAATATTTTAATTACCACAACAAACTCAATAAAATCCCGCGAAAATATAGGTTTGTGGAAAGTGTGTGCTCAGACCTTCCCTACTATGAAGTAGAGAAGTTTCCAAGAGACCCTGACTCCACATACCGCAACAAATATTTTATTAATTTATATATAAAAAAAATCTTGGGTCATGTTTCTGGTGAATGTGGTTCCCATTTGTGAGGTAAAATTTTAAAGAATCACAACCACATGTTCTTTGTCTATTCGGTTTGTATTTTTGCCAAAAGGTCATATACCTTGGGACTTGGGTAGGTTATTCTGGTGTCCCATATCACCAAAACGGCAAAACAAATTCCCTTCGTTTGAAAATGCAAATTGGTGACCCCTAAACCCATTTTACTTTCAACCTAGTTATAGTCGAACATAACCTTCACTATAAAGCGAACATAACCAAATCAAATCCAGGACTGGGTCCGGGTGGGTTTCTAAAAAATTGGAAAAGTTCCAGTTTTTTTGAAGGCCATTATACATTTTTTCCCAATGAAAAATAAAATATAGGACCGGTAGGGAACCAGTACCCCCCCCCAGGGACTAGTAACCACCGGTTCTAGGACATGTCCCCTCATACTTTCACTATTTTGGGTGAAATCATCACCTGTG